TATCTTTTCCACTCTGAAAGTAAAGAGCAGATTAGGCCCCAGATTGGTAAACCATCAGAAATCTCTCTCTGGACCCTGGAAGAGAATTATTCAGAAAGGCAATGACGCTGCTTAAGAAAATAAAGCTTTTTGAATTAAAACCACAGGGTGCAAAATATGGGGCTCCCATGCTGAGAGAAGAGAAAATGGCAGAAAAAACCCTGCACTAGATCACATCCAAAAGAGTGACAGACTGTTTAACAGACCAGACATTACCAGATACATTCAGCAGCAGCCCCAGTGATGTGTTCAATTACTGAGACAAGATTTTCATGCAAAGTGAACAGCTCAGTAAGTAATTAATTGTGGTGCAGATCCTTTGAACACTGAGAGCTGTGTTATGTTCTGGCTGTCACCACTTGTTCTGCAAAAATCAGAAGATTTTACATCCCAATGTTTGTTGAACACAGAATTTCTTTCTATTTTCCAAATGAAACTCCAACAGAAACAAGATGCACTACAAAGAAGGGCTTTACTCAAGACTTTTAGACCAGCTTTACAGGTGCATCAGACAACTCTGTATAAACAAGTTATTAGTCAAGCTATGTTTTGGCGGCAGCTGTATCTACGCTGTTTGTCAGGGATAGAAATCCTGAAGGCTTAGTGGATGTGCAGGGATCACACATAGGAAGAGGCTTTCCAAAGCAAATTGGAATAGCAATGCTTGACAAGAACTTACTGGGAATCAAACTGCAGTCAGACATACTTTTCCGAGTGCAGTTAAACTATGTTTAGAAGAGACAAGTGTCAACTATTCACCACTACCTGATCTGCCAGAGCCTCCTGCTGTCCTTCAGATCTACTGGCAGTCTACACTTGCTGCTCCTGGCACCTAATTTAATATTTAAAAGTGATCACAACTAATACTGAAAATAAACTTTCTTTCATGGCTTTCACATTCCTAAGCTGATACTGACCTCCACCAGGTTCCCAAAGCTTGGCTTGCTCTTTCATCCAGGTGCAGATTGATTAGAACACCTATAGATGCCAGACTTTTAGCTAGTACCAACCAGAGCACCATAGACTCTGTGATCATGTAGGAGCTGCATCGTGTACTATGCTTCTTATTCCTCTAAAGCAGAGATGCTCATGAAACCATCTAAGACCAATGCTGAGGGGCAGCTTAGGAAAATGTATCATTATCTATGGTGGAGACAGCAGTGTAGTCACATCAGCTATATTTTCTATCTGCTTCCTCTGCATCCTCCTGAGTATGAGAAGGATTTTGCATTGTAATTCCAATACTCCTTGTAGTACTGGATTCACTACTTGTCAGGAACTCTTCACTATGTTGGGTTTTTTTTTACATATGTAAGAAATGCATTAATGTAAAGAACACCATAAAAGACTGGTGTTTCTGTAACTTGTTCCCCCCCCCCCCCGAATAGCGATTCCTTACATTTCCTTCTTTCCTTATTTGCTGGTTTTCCAAATCTTTTTACACAGTATAAACCTTTCTTACAATATTCTTTCAGTCTTTAAAATATTTTTAGTCTCTCCTTTGATTTCAGGCCACATTTTCTGTTCACATTGCCTGCATTCCCCCCTTTCATACCCACTTGCCCTCTCAATATGGCCACCTCTACTGGATCTGGCTGTGATGAAGTTAAACTTTCCTCACAGCAGCCCATATGGTGCTGTTCTTTGGATCCGGGGCTTAACCCAGTGTTGATAACACACCAACACTTTAGCTGTTGCTGAAGTGTTTGCACTGTGTCAAGGCTTTCTCTTTCTCCCACTCTGCCCCCTGCAGTGAGTAGGCTTGCACAGGCAAGAAGATGGGAGGGGACACAGCCAGCACAGTTGACCACAACTGATTAAAGAAATATTCCATACCATGTCACATTATGCTCAGCAATAAAAACCAAGGGAAGGGGATTTTGTGTAGGTAGCCACTGCTCAGAAACTGACTGGGCATCTGTCTACTTGTGGAAGGTGCTACATGATTGCCTTGGCATTGGTTGGTTTGTATTACTTCATTTTCCCTTCATTTATTAAACTACCTCTGTCTTGATGCATGAGTTTTATTGCTATTCCTCTTCTTATTCTCTCTCCTGCCCTGCTCTGTGGGGAGAACAAGAGCTATGTGGTGCTTAGCTGTTGGCTTGCGTCAACCCCCTGTAACAACTCCATACATCTTATCTTTCATACCTTACACAGAGCCCCAGTTTCCAAAGGTAAATCATTATTTTAGAATCTTGAGAATTGGTTCTGTTTCTAAGAACTAATGAATGAAGATCTACTTAGGACATTTTAGTGTTTGGAGTTAGCAGTGTTACTCACTTCATCTGAACCTCTTTGCTATTTGCAATCTCCTCTGTTCCATACCTGAAACACACCTATTAAGTCCCACACATGCTGACATATGTTTATAGCACAGTTAAAGAATGAAGCTGTTCTGCCTGCAATGTATGAGTCTACTTCTGAAGATGCCTGGCAACTTCACAAAAGCAGCACTGGAGGTGGCTTCAAGCAGTTTTATCCTTTCCATTACACTTCTGTTGCCAGTGCCTTCTGGCTATTACTGGAAAGAACTGTGCCTCCTTCAGGGGATTCTTCATGATATATGAGTGCTCTGGACTCCTGTGGGAGGGTGGGTAGATCATAAACAGGAATGGACTCCAACCTTTCTACTTACACCACACAGAGGTTCCTGAGGTAGCCTGTATAACTGTTCTGTTCCTTGCCAGTCTGCAACATGTAACGAACAAAGGATCTGCTGGAACTTTAATTTCTGTCACGTGAGAAAAGAAAGAAATCTGAAGCCCCTTTTAGGGATCAATCCATGAGGGAAGTGCATTGCTGTCTGGTCTCTGGCAAGTTAGTTCAAATCACACAGTTTCAGACATATACAGAGAAATGGCAGAAGGTAGGTCTAAACCACATTTGCCTATTGCGTTTTCTTCTTAGTAGCTGTGCTTATTCATTTGGGATTATGCTTTGGGTTTGTGCAGGGACAAGTGTTGATAATAGAGGAATATTTTAGTTGTTGCTGAGCAGTGCTTACATACAGTCAAGACCTTTTCTTCCTCTCATACCACCCCACCAGCAAGTAGCCTAGGGATGCACAAGAAACTGGGAGGAGACATGGTGAGGACTGCTGACCCCAACTGACACAAGAGATATTTCACACCATATAGTGTCATGCTCCGCATATGAAGCTGGGGGAAGAAGGAAGAGCAGGATGTTCGAAGTAATGGCATTTATCTTCCCAGGTAATCATTACACATGGTGGAGCTCTGTTCTCCCAGAGAAGGCTGAATTCCATGGTGAGTGAATCCCTTGGTTTGCTTTGCTTGCACGCACAGCTTTTGCTTTACCTATTAAACTGTTTATCTCAAGACACAAGTTTTGTCGCTTTTACTCTTCCAATTCTCTCCCTCATCCCAATGCTGGGGAAGTGTTCGAGTGGTTGTGTGGTGTTTAGCTGATGACTGGGGTTAAAGTACAACATATTCCTAAATTACATGGTCCACACTGGACAGGTTTGAGATTGCAAAGAGCAAACAGTATTCAAGAAATTACATTTGTCTTTACAGAACCATTATCCCACCATTGTCTTCCAGCAGAAGGACCTCTATTTCTAGCAGAGTGATTCTAACAGAGTAATGCTTCTGGTGGAAGCAGGGTAATTCTCTTCTAGTTGTACTGTTAATGACATGTAAAAAGGCTTCTAACTATTCATAGTAATTAAAAATCAGCAAAGTTATCATGCCAGCTTCAGTATTTTCTAATTCTTCTCTGCAAACCAAGAATACCTTTCTGTAACTCCTATCTACACTACATTTTACCAATAACTGTAATTTAGGGGTATTCTTTTACCAATCTTTTCTAGTTTACTACAAATGCAGTTAATTTTAATAATGGCTACAGAAATATCTGCAAATTCATGCAGTTCCAAAGCTCTGTAGATCCTTTAGGATGAAAATGTAAGGGGTGTAAGTGTTGATGTTAACAGTCACAAATTGCATAGATCCCATAGGGAAAAAAAAGATATGTTGTACAGTATTTTGTCAGCTTACCCTTTCCTGAGTTTTCACCCAATTACAGAATGATGCTCTCATTGATAAAAGCTTTGCACAAATAGTACTGAACAGGGCTGGAGAAAGGTGATTCCAATTACTTACAAACAGTAACTGTCATCTCATCACAGCCACATTAAATTTTAATTTGCTGCTGCCAGCTTGTTAAAGTACCAGTTCCACATCTCCTTTTTCATGGATTAAAAGGATAATCATGCATCTACTGCTTTTATAACTCCTAAGTTAATTCTGCAGCATCTTGAGGTGTCTTCAGTACTCTGCGGTCATGCTGAACTCTTTGAAGTGTCCAGCGAATGGGAAATTAACATACCAGAACAGCTTCACTAGAACCAAAGAAAGTGCTCATTCAGAACACTTTAATCTCAACCATCTAGAAATAGTCAGTGAAAGGAGATATGAAATGACACCACAGCTTCAGAGTGCACACCAGTAATCAACACGATGTGCTGTTTTTGCTATATATCCTCCCTTTGTGAAAGGTTAGAAGAGAGAGACAGCTTTTTACAAGGAGGCTAGTCGTCCTACTTAGTTGTGACATGAAGGCTCCTTTATCATCATGGAGCTAAGGACGACAGTGCCAGCAGAGGGGCATGCAGACAACTGTGTAAGTTTGCATACTGTAACTTCATACTGCAAAACTCCAGCTAGAAGAACTTATCCTGAATACACCATTTGAGATAGGGAATGCTATAAGCACGTATGCGATGTCAGTCCAAGTTCTTATACTTTCACTATAGGATTATGTTCTGTTCTGAAAAGTTTAGACACCCAAGGCTGCTTACTTTAAGACCGTTGCACTATTACCATAATTTGCTGTTGCTGGTACCATAAAGAAGATGGTATTCAGATCACCCAGATCTTACTTTAAGACTTTATGAGCACCTACCAATTTATTCATTAGGTGTGACAATATTCTACCTGGTGCCTTGGACTCATCATGTCGATGCTGATCCCAAGTCCTGCCTTGCTTATTTCCATCATTGCAAGTTTCCCGATTCTATAACAAAAAAGACAGCCAATTATTTCTCTGTTAACAATACTACTCAGTATTTTGCCTGGGATTTCTACTAAGAATAATTTCCCTAGTAACAAAGTTCTCTGTAGTCTACAAAATCCAGTAAGAATCAGTAAAAATCTTTATTACCATGTTGTTCAGAGAATGCACACATCCTCTGTGAGGAGTGTGCCACTGATCCCTACTGTACAAGGCTAATCATCTATGAGTTACTACACAATCATAACTTGCTAAGATCAAATGTTACAAACCTTGAAGAACAGCAGCATAAACAACAGCATTATTCTCAAGTGTACTTGCAATGGAGACTATGCTTCTGAAGTTAAATGAGTTTCATGGTATTGTTTTAAAGTAGAGATGTGTCTTTCTAAGTAGAGCTGTAGCACACCCAGATCATTTCATGTGTTCTCCAAGTTTTTCAAACAGAGTAACTAAAAAAAGCAGCTCAAGTACTAACCAAAGTATAGCAGGAGGAGGCATCACATATCAATGCATCAAAATTTCCTCAAGCAGAAATCGCACCAAATCCCTGCAAATCTCTGTTCTTGGCAGTAATTTTCTAAGGCTTCTGTATGCTCAAGTGCAATGGAGCTGCTGAAGGCGGTCACTAGGTGGCAGGATTTCATCCACTGAAGGAGGCACTAAATCTGCTGGCAAAACCCTTACTCGTAATAGCAGATGGAGTTTTCAGTGTTATCTGATCACTTCTACAACACTCCAAGAAAATATAATATGAAGAGAGACAAAACCAGTTAGAAAACGGATTCTTTTTGTCATGTCCTTCACTTGGGAAAAAGAATATTCTAGTTTGTCATGTTTTATTGTTTTATAATTGACATTCCTGCTTAAATCGCTTTCCTTTGTTCAGACTTATTAGATTAGTCAGTAGCTTTTTTCAACAGAACAAAACACTTCTTGGGTAGCACAAGTAGGGTCCATGACATTATAATATTGACTAGGGGTATAAATGTAAGCACACAAGGATGAACAGAAGAGTAAGATCTTTAAGAACGTTTAACTTCAGTCACTGCTCCAGTAATGATATTCTCTACTTAATCTTAAGTTAGCCGGAGCATTGGTAACAGTCTAGTTCTGATATCATACATCGAAGTGGGACATGGAACTGCTGGAACAAGTCCAGAGGAGGGCCACGAGGGTGATCAGGGGACTGGAACACCTCCTGTATGAAGATAGGCTGAGAAAGTTGGGGCTGTTCAGCCTGGAGAAGAGAAGGCTGCGTGGAGACCTCAGAGCAGCCTTCCAGTATCTGAAAGTTACAGAAAGGTATTCTTGGTTTGCAGAGAAGAATTAGAAAATACTGAAGCTGGCATAGGGAGGGACTCTTCATTGGGGACTGCAGTAACAGGACTAGGGGTAACGGGCTAAAACTTAAACAGGGGAAGTTTAGATTGGATATAAGGAGGAATTTCTTTCCTGTTAAGGTGGTGAGGCACTGGAATGGGTTGCCCAAGGAGGTTGTGAATGCTTCAACCCTGGCAGTGTTCAAGGCCAGATTGGACGAGGCCTTGGGTGATATGGTTTAGTGTGAGGTGTCCCTGCCCATGGCAGGGGGGTTGGAACTTGATGATCTTAAGGTCCTTTCCAACCCTAACTGTTCTATGATTCTATGAACTACAAACCCCACAAAAGATGCTTGGAAAATAGTTGAGCACTTCAAAGTAGTCTGAACACGATCCTGCCATAAGCACTCCAGCACCTGAGCTGCAACTGTTAATACTCCCCAAACTTATATAGCCACTACAGTAGATGTAGCTTTAAAGGTGTGCATGTGCAGTTAAACACACTCAGCACTGCTAACAGGGTTACAGTTGGTCCCTTCAGGTATTTTAGATTATACAGCCCATTCAAAAATTGTTTTTTAAAAAATATATATATTTCCCTATTTCTGAGCTGTAATAAAAATATATTGGGTACAATCCCACCAAGTTTTCAAGCCAGCCTTCAACTAATGCACAACAGGCTTGCCCAATGCAAAATTTGAATGAAATAAACCATTAGGTACATGCTGTAATTGTTGGTTGTTGTGTATTGAGACTCTCTAGCCCACTTTTATAAAACAGTACTTAGGGTTTACTTTTAGTGTCCCATCTCTGATTGGAATACTTATAGGTGGTCTGCTTCTCCTGAGCTTCTAACACATAGTGCTTTTGTACTATTCCTTCTGCCAAGGGCGCTTGCTTGGCTTTATGTAAAGATCTGTTATGACTTTAATAAAAACCACGTTCTATGTAGTCCCCTTGCCACAGTGATACGGAAGGTGGGGGTCTGTGCTTTACTACAAGTACTATTATTGTTGACATCAACAGGACTTACGATTTTGCAAAGAACATCATACACTATAACATGCACAAGTAAAGTTGGAGCAGCTGATCAGTGTGTATTTGTAATCTCATTTAAAATAAGGTTAATGGTAGGCAGAGGGTTTCTCTTCATTCTCCTTGTAGACTGGACACTCTGCATACACAGGGATACTCCTTAGCTCTTAGAGGCTTGAAATCAATTCTGAAGAGAAGTACATTCTTAGTTAACCAAGAATTAACTTGGTTTTGATAGATGTCTGCTGCAATGCTCTCTTCCTCAGAGTAGGTATGCAATCCAGAGGGCAATGTTTGTTCTACCTGATACTAATTAGGGAAGTTGCAATTTGCAGCAGAAAATGTCTATGTTCTTCTATCTCACTGAGAATCTAGGTGAAACAAGAATTAAACTTTCCTATACTAATGAAACTTCCCAGTGATTTTTAACATATTCAGTATTATTCCATAGAAAAACAAATAACTTTTATGATCACTTCTATTTTTCCATTTCTTTTCCATCTGCATATTCCTTTCTGCTCCCCTGCTTTTTAGCTCCCTTATTTTCCATCACCTAAATAAGACAAATTAGACTAAAATCTGTGTTTGTCACTAAAACCCATTTGACAACATGCATAATGACATCTATGTCTTAATGTATAAGCACTCATGCTAAATCAAGCTTTCATGTAGAACATGAGCTCTGAAGTTTCCGAACATTTGAAAGACTTCACTTTGAAGCTGTAAGATTTTCACATTATTTTTTAAAAATTAATAATGAGTCAGAAAGTGATTATATTAAAATAGAGAAATATAACCCATTCCTCAAAATAAAGAACAAGAGATTCACAGTTTTGAGTCACTATTGGAGCCAGTTTATAGGTTTGGAAAGAAAGCATTGTGCCACTCCACAGTGCTTTTACACCCAAAATCTTATCCTTTCAGTGCTGCCAAAGGTAAAAAGCTCCCTCTGAGTGAACAGACACATTCTCAACATGTCATGTGGGCTAATTAAACACTTCAAATACACAATATCCAGGCTATGAATCCAAGCATTTGATATTTTTAGTTGAGAGCATGCATGAATATCTAAGGCAGTGCAATTCTGCTCTTAACTGAGGTTTCTTTGAGCTATTGCTCCATAAATATTTAAAATCAAACAGGAACCTACTGTCTGTGCAGTCTGTTCTACATCCTTCCTTGCATTGTGCTTAGTTCTTTAGGAAAATTCTTGCCAGGAATGCTCACCTGCCTACTAAATCTGAAAAATAGCATTTCAGATTCTATCCCTTCTCTATAACTCTCCTCAAAGGCAGAGCCAAGGCATTGCTGCTCTGGACAATGCTTTCATTGCTACACAAAGGCATTTCAGGCTTCTTAGACAGCATTCTGAATAGTCACTTTGAAAGAAGCCTTTGCTTTGCTACAGTCCAAATCATCCTGCTTAGATGAAAGCAAGCTGTCAAAAGCCAATTCTTTTTCTAAAAGTCAATACCTGAAATAAGGTCAGTGACTTAGAAACACAAGATATTTCTTGTTGCATCCAAGAAGCTAAAGTGTGCCTTCCCTGCCAGTCAGTCTCTTGACAGTTTTAATGCTTAGTCCAGCAGCTTCTTACAACTTTGGTACCTCCTTTGCAAGTAAAATGCCAGAGGAGACAGTTTCAGGCATTAAGATAGTTACACTGCATAGTTTACTCTAAAGAGGCATAGTCCTGAGTATCCAGTTTCATTGCAAAAGGTTACTGATAACAGTGATGCCATCCTAATCCCTACACAAAGTCATTTAAGGTCCATTATAATATTCCCTTATTATCTCAAAGTTAGTGTTAGATCTTTAACTAGAGTAAAAGATACAGTAAGATACAATGCTTTACAAAGGCAGAACAAGAGAAAACCTTTGCCAGTTTTACTTGGCAAAATTAACCACAAAAATAAATCAGTTAGAAGTGCAATATTTCAGCGGAGATTTTCTGTTTGGTTTCAAATGATGTATGACAGGATGTAGTTGCCCAAGGGAGAATTGCCAAAATGGTTCAATACAACATTTGTTTTCAGATACTTGGTAACACAGCAATTATAGTTGCAAGGATTAAAGTTGTAGCAGGAGGTAGAACCTATAAAACCTAGCACCCAACAGACACCCAGCACCCCCATTGCCTGCTCAGCACACAGTTCATATGGAAGGATTAGTAAGACTGGCAGAACATGATAGGATGCGACCTCAGTAGTGTAAACAGCATTAGTTGAAGACAAAAGTGAATAAATCCTCTTTCCCTGAAGTGTAGCCAACAGGGAATGAATCAATTTTAAAAGGAATCAAATTTTCTAAGCTAATTCCTATGCCACAGCATATCCTATTTAACACTACTAAAGAGCAGCTACCTCTAAAGCAGCTGGTGTTCATACCACTATTCCAAACAGTGAGCAAAGACAGTTCTGGCTACAAATGGCAGCAAATTCCACTGTGATTACCAAGGGACACACAGCATGCTTCGAGTGAAGTTTTCAAAGAGCTGCGGTATTTTAGGAAGGAAGAATCCTTGGTTATTAAAATCTTAACAACAAAAATCAATGCAGTACATTGTACAGTATTCTCATTTCTTTCCCAACTATCAGTTTCCTTTGAATCATGAAACTAAGCAGATGAAAGGGGTCACAGCTAAGT